GATTTGAACTCAAGGAGATGAATCTTCCTGACTTCAGGCCCAGCACTCTATGCACTGTGGCGCCACCTAGCTGCCAAGTCTTGGAAATCAGCTCAGAAGAGTAATGGCTTCTCCATAAGAGCAAGTCCTCTAACTCTCCCAATCGCTCCAAGTGACAACATTTATGAGAAAAACCGCAGCTTAGAAAAGGGAGAGATAATCCAGAATTCACTTCTGGAAAACTCCAAGTCTATGGAACAGAACAGAGCTCGTGCTAGTTGAGCTGAGAAGCTATGGGACTAAAGTCTTCAAGAACTTGTCTTTTTCCATAGTCCCCAGTTCTCCTCTCATTGATTATTTCCAAAATAAGCATTCCTAAAGGCTGTAACCCTGGGTATCCCCCATTCTTTTCTCTCTTCTTCATACTATATTATTCACTTATTGCCTGCTAGGGATCTCCAACTATTTGCTCCATTAGCCTTTCAAGCTCAACATGTCTGAAACTGTACTAATCATTATTCCTCACAATTCTGTTACATTCCTAACTTCTTTGTCCTTGTTTCCACATGGCCCTTCTCTCAGCCATTTACACAATCATCTTCACCCATTCATCTACATTCCTTCTCCATCCCACACATCCATTCATCCACAGAGTCCTGTCAATTCCACCCTAGATGACATTTCTTACATATGAGGTAGTGAAATATAATAGAGAGTACTGAATCTGAAATCCAAAGAGACCTAGGTTTGAATCCAGCTCCTGACACTTGCAAGCTGTGTGGCCATCACTCAATTAATCCATCAGCAAGTGCTAATTAGGTATTTACTACATGCCAGGCACTGCATTTGGCACTAGAGATACAAGTTCAAAGAATGAAATGAATCTATAATTACAAAGACTTTACATTCTGCGCCTGGCATATAGTAGCTATTTAACAAATGTTTATTGCCTGGCATTCTCATGGAGGACATACTAAATATATATTTAAATATGAAAAGTATAAATATGAAGTCAATAAATACAAAAATCCAGATTAATTAAATACAAGATATCTTGGGCAGGAGGGCACTAGCAATAAGAGGATCATGTAGAAGATGTTGATTGAGCTGCGTCTTAAAGATACAGAGGGACTTTGAGGCAGAGGTAAGGAAGGAGAGAACATTACAGGCTTGTGGGAAGTGTGTGAGGAACAGAGAGCAGGCCAGTTTGGTTTGATTGCATAGAATGGAAGGAAGAGTAATTGCACAGTGTGGAAGGGAGGATAATATCCACTGGGGTTGGAAAAATAGGTAGAAGCCATCTTGTGTTTAAGTTAAACAGAAAAGTTACATTTTATTTTAGAGGCCATAGGAAGCCACTTGAATCTATTGAATAAGGGGAGTCACACGGTAAGAGATGTACTTAAGGAAAATAGCAATAATGTGTAGGATAGACTATAGTGGTAAAAGGCTTAAGGAAGAGAGATCAATTAAAAGGCTGTTGAAATAATCTTGGGAAAATATGCTGAGAGCCTGAACTGAAGTGGCAACTTTGCCAGTGCAGAGTTGTTCAAGTAATAGACAATGTCATAAATGACGAAATGGCGAGATTTGGCAACTGATTAAATTTGAGAGTGAGTTGGGAACAATCCCAAGGTTATAACCTGAGAGACTGGAAGGATAGTGATCCCTTTGATAAAACAGGGAAGTCTGAAAGAAAAGAGGGTATGGGATGAAAGATAATGAAGTAGTTCAATTTTGGATCTGTTGCTTTGGATTTGTCTCCAGGACATGTAGTCTGAAATGTTCAAAATGACCATGGGCAAGTCACTTAGTTTCTCATTATCACATTACCTCATAATTAAACAGAGTATCATCATGTGATTGCATTGGCTCCTCCATGCCCTACTTTGCTTTTTGTTCACCTGGCACAGCTCCTTGCCAAAACTAAGTGTTCATGACATCTTTGTTGAATTATCACTTAACTTAATACTTTAATGTCTATGATCTTGCTGATAATGAAATCATCTGCAGAGGAATCACAACTCAACCAAATGTCACACTGTGAAACACTTTATAACATCTTCCTTTAAACCATAGGATCATAAAGTTAGAATTGTAACTGACTTTGGATTCAATCCAGTTTAACCCATTTTAATGAGGGAAACTGAGTCAGAATCATGAAACATTTATTAATTGCCTACTATTTGCCAAAGAAATACATACGTATATACAAACATTTATGTATGTTTTATGTATACACACACACACACACAAAATAAATACATGCTGAATTTATAGGAAGGGGCAGAGGCAATAGTCATGGGCAGCTAGGTGGCACAGTGGATAGAGTGTTGGACCTGAAGTCAGGAAGAATCATCTTCTTTAGTTCAGATCTTTACTAGCTGTGTGACCCTGTTTGCCTCAATTTCCTCATCTGTAAAATCAGCTGAAGAAGGAAATGCTAACCACTTCAGGATCTTCTACAAGAAAACCCCAAATGACATCATGAAGAATTTGGACATGCCTGAAATGACCGAACAACAGGTCATAGGTACTGAGAGGATCTGGAGAAGCGTCACATAAAAGGTTATCACTTCAGCAGAATTTCGAACAAAATAAAGGATTCACAGTGTTTACTTGTTTTTTGGGCTGCCCACAATTCTGGTTCCTTAAAGACTCTGATGTTCCATTCCACACAACCATCAAATATCTGAGAGAGAATGTTTTTCTCAGTTGTCCAGTTCTAAGATTCATCATAATAACATAACCTTGTTTCTTTTTCTTGTTTTTGTATTTATGTTGATGTAGCTTTTAAAGTATATCATTTCCTTCACTCTACATCAGTCTTACTTCTTTGCATTCTTACTGTTTGGGGGAGGTTTCTTTTGGAACAGTAATTTTCATTATATTTACGTACTTCAATTTATTTAACCACTCACTAAGCTGGGTACTTTGTTTCCAGTTCTTTGCTACCACAGAAAGGGCTGATAAGAATGTCTGGATGTATGTGAGAATTTTGTTTTCTTTTAAGAAAAATCTTATTAATGTCTTTTCATTTTTTACAACATCTATATTTTACAATAAACCTCTCTCCCATTGAGAAAGTCATCCCTTCTGACAAAAAGAAGGAAATATATTTAGCAAAATTAACCAATACCTTAAAATTATATGAAATTAATGGCAGTCTCCTACACCTACAGTCTCCCATCTCAGTAAAGAAGGCAGGGAAGTAGCTTTGCATATCTATTTTGGGGGCCAAACAGTTATTATAATTTTGTAGCATTTGAGGTTTTTTTTAAATGTATTTGGTAGTTTTAAAAATTCTACATTGTTGCCATCAGGCAAGTTTTTTCCTGGTTCTGCTAATATCCCTTAGCATCATTTCACATGCTTTTCCCAGGCTTCTTTATATTCATGATGCTCATCATTTCTTCTAGTTCAATGATATTAAATTGCATCTGTGCACTGCCATTTGGTCAGCTATTCCCCATTTAAAGGGTCTCTGCTCTGTATTTCTTTGCTATTACAAAAGCACAGCTCAATATTTTGATATGTAAGGCACTTTTCATTTTTTCAGTGACATAGTTGGTGTCTAGCAGTTGGATCACTAAGTCCCAAGTTATGGCCACTGAAGATGCTTTCTGAGCACAAATCTAAATTATTTTACAGCATGCTTGGGTCATTTCACAATTCTACCAATAATACATTATTGTGCCTAACTCTCTACTACCTTTCCTATTGTATTTCTACTTCCCGTCATCTTTGCCAATTTGTTGGGTATGTGGTGAAAAGTAAGGGTTACCTTAATATTCACTCACCTTATTATTAGTGATTTGGAACAATGTTTCACATGATTGTTCAAAAATAGGAATTGTTCTTTTGAAAACAGTTTGTTCTCCACTCTATATTAACAAATGACAAACAGAATTTCATCTAGCAAACTAGGTATAGGCACACTTTGAGTTTGTATTAGAGCAAAGAACCATTTCCTCCTTTGGTTCTATTAATTGGTCTCCTACTGACATTTTGTTGACTTTTTTATCCACCATGAATGTTCTATGAGTGAATCTACAAACCAAGATACGGTCTACAATTGAATCTTGGGTTCCTTTCTTGACTTTAATGGATATTATGGAGCCCACCTTCTTGCAATGTTTTCCCAACATTTTGCTATCCGGAATTACTTAACTGCATATGCAAACAGAAATTTCACCATAGACATCACAAGAATATTTCCTCATATATTAACAGATATAGACAATAAAATTAAACTCAGAGCTTAGGATGGGCTGTGGAGTAAAATCAAGAAGACAGATAAAGCTCCTCTATTATTTTTTCAGGGAATTAATCTTTTTCCCTTAGGGCAGATTTGAATCACATTTGAAATATTTGCTCCACTCATTTAAAGCAGCTGGAACCAGAATTTTGATTCATCATTTATTTGACACTTGAAAAGTAACACATTTTTTTCAGTGCTAACTTCTTGGGCTTCTGGCACAAGGAGGAGTTTTTTTTTTTGGGGGGGGAAGGGGTGTTGGTTTTTGTTTTCGGTTTTTGTTTTTGTTTTTACTCTGCAATATGTCTGGAGGCTGCTAGGTGGTTCAGTGGACAATGCAGGCCTACAGTCAGGAAGATCTGAGTTCAAATCCACTCTCAGACATGATTAGAAGCTGTGTGACCTTTAATGCCGTTTGCTTCAATTTCCTCATTTGTATAATGAGCTAGAGAAGGAAATGGCAAATCATTCCAGTATCTTTGCCAAGAAAATCACAAATAGGGTGACAGAGAGGTCAGACACAGCTGAAACAACTGAACAACAACCGCAGAGCACAAAAGAAGGGCAAAGCCCTTTCCCTAATATCCAAGACAGCAAATACCGGCAAATTTTTCAAACTTTATTAATAATAGAACTTGTTTATTAAATTAAGAAAAATGATGTTTTCTTCTTTTTGCTGAGGAAGGGATAATGATAGCTTTTAATACTTACAGGCATCCATATTTCCAAATCGTTAACCATGAGCGGTCTGGTTGTTTTGCAGGTGCTGGCGAATCTGGAAAAAGCACAATTGTCAAGCAGATGAAGTAAGTATCTGCCTCTCTTAGGGCAGCCTGTGCACATCTTTGATTGTTTGGTAAAGATAAAAAACTTGAGAAAAAGAATTACTAAACTAGAAGCTCTTTTTTTGTTGTTGTTGTTTCATATTGTTTTGGGTGGTAGCAGAAACTTTTGTAGTTCCTTTACCAACCATGCTGATCACATGCAGTCACAAACATAATGGATAAGTAATAATTCTTAAAAAAAAAAGAAGCCAATAGCAATAAATATTTATGTAATGCTAGCTGGGTAAAGAGCCTGATGCTTCAGGTGAGGAGATATACAAGTTTTTAATAAGGTGTGATAATAATAATTATTATTTTATATCCCTTGCAGGGTTACAAAGCATTTTACATTTGTTATCTTGCTTCATTTCCACAATAACCCTGTGAAGTAGGTAGTGTTATCACTCCCATTTTACACATAATGAAGCCAAGCCTGAGAGATGTTAACTGACTTGCCTTTGATCACAGTTAGTAAATGTCTGAAACAGAATTTGCACTCAATTCTCCCTAAATCTAGGTCCGACAGTGTATCTCCTGAACCATCAATCTGTCTCTGATTAATCCTGATCTCAAGCTTAATTTCCAGTGGGGGGAATGTTACTACATCATAGTTAACATATGATATTAAGATAATAGCTTTAGTATCATAAGGAATTTTAAGGTCAACTAATGCAATATATTATTTTTTTAGACAAGGAATTTGAGGCCAAGAGAAGTTAAGCAATAGATTCAAGCCAAGATCCCAGGATGTCAAATTCAAAGTTCTTTCCAGTACATAATAGTACTGCCTCTTCTACATTTTAAATGTAATGGAGAGTTACAAAACAAAATTGAAAGCATATTTCATTGCAGAGTTCGGTGGTTTAGGGTGCAGCATATTGTATATGCTGTCAGACTGATTGTACTGGTAAGTTTTACCTAACTTTATTATTTTTTTTTTATATTGGGAAATGGAGTGGAGTGGTATACAATAATAATAATGATAACAATAATAATAAATAATGCAGCTAACATTCATATAGCTGTTAAAGGTCTTCTATGCAAAAGGACAAAGAATAACACTATAATTTTTTGTTTGTTTGCTTAGCTTGGTTTTGTGGAGGACAGAGAAGTGCAAACAGCTGTCTAGTGTGACTGGAGAGCAAAGCATGCGCAGTTGAGTAATAACAGATGATAAAAGAGAGAGAGGGATCAAGTAGTAAAGGTGTTTTACTTTACTTGGTATGTGATAGAGAGCTACTAAAGACTTTTGAGCATTGTAGTGACCTAACCTGATCTGCATATTTGGAAGAATATTCTTACAGCAGAACAAACAGTGGATTGCAGCAGGGAAAGGGGAAAGAGATTATATATTTTTTTTAATTTTTTTTTTTATTTTTAGGCAATTGGGGTTAAGTGACTTGCCCAGGGTCACACAGCTAGTAAGTGTCAAGTGTTTGGTCTGAGGCCATGTTTGAACTCAGGTCCTCCTGACTGCCGGGCCAGTGCTCTATCCACTGCACCCCAGAAAGAGATTATATCTTTTAAAAGGCTTCGGTAGTTATTCAGATGGGTAGTAATCAGGATGTATGTGAAGGTGGTAATAGTGTTTATAAAGGAAAGAACAAGTTTCAAAGATATTACAGAGATGCCTAGGATTTAAGTGAGAGGTGAATGCAAGTTTAGAATTGAGAGGAGGTCAGTTTCTTAAAGTTAAGAAACGTTCTCTCTTCTTTGTATTTATAAATAAACCGTCACTTTTAATTACCTCATTTAAACAGTAAATCTACAAATTTTTATGGAATATGTACTGAGTACAAAGCATTATGCTAGGTTTTACAGAGCATAAAAGAAGATGCCAGACAACTTTTAGACTTGAATCAGCTTACAGTTTAATTGAGGAGACTATATGTGTGCATATATGTACATATATGTATGCATATATACACATAGAATACCTACATATGAACCCAAAATAAGCCAAAAATGTAAAACAGGTCAAAGGATTCTGGGGCTTGCAGTCAAAAGATAAGACTCTCACTTATTAGTATGTGGCAAGTAAGTTAATCTCTCTAAACCTCAAGTTCCTTATGTGTAAAATAGGGATAAAAACATTTATGCTACTTTCCTTATGGAATTATTATGAAAGAAAAATACTGCATAAGCCACAATGTTTTGTAGCGATTTAATTCAACAAATATTGACTATGGACAAAGCACATTGATTGATACTAGAGGAACAAAGGTAGCTGCACTTGCTCTCAAGAATCCTGCCTAATATATGATAAATTGTACAAATAAAAGTGACACAAAAGAGTGAAATAAATGTAAAAGACTAGACAAAGTGTTGTGAGAAATTTGACAAAGGAGGATCATTTCCTTCTTTGGAAGTCATGGAAGACTTCAGGTAGTGGCACCTGATTTAGACCTTGATGAAAGGGAAGGGTTTTTTTTGTTAAGTAGAGAGGAGGAATCAATTCTAGTCATGGTGGGCAGCATGAACAAAAGCACTTCTATAGATAAGAGAGAATAGCCAAAAAAAATAAAGAATAACTTGTTTGGCTGAAACAGAGAGACTATGAAAGCAAGTGATTAAAAATTCAGCCGCCTGCCATTGTTATTATTATAGAACTATTTTATTAATCATAGAGTGCTATGCAAATGCCAGTTATCCTAATCATATTATTATTTAGTGTGACAAGAGTTGTCCATCATAAGGATTGAGGAGAAAAAATAAAGTACGAGTGTTGGTGTCCAAAAAAATATCTTTTGGCAGAAACGTTGCCAGAATACAATCTTGAAGGATGATGGATAGGGAAGCCTGCTGAGTAGGGAAATCACATGAGTCAACCTACTCTTTTGGACATCTATTTTTCAGCCATATTCAATTATCGATCATTTATATGATTAATATGGCTGTCAATACAAGCCAGATTTTGTGATAGTACTAAATATCAAACTAACTGATTTTGGTCTGGACAGATGCAACTTCAATATCGTAGGAAACTTAAAACCCCTGTATGATTTATAGTATCCTCATAGTTGCAAGGGAGCAGGGAAGGGATTTAATTTCTACTTGTGATATGAATAAATGCTTATGGAAATACATTGTACTATTTTTGCCCTAATTCATTTAAAATTACTGCACTTCCCTGCTGACCCAGTATTTTCATAGGAGTGGTTTTTTATAGGTTACTTCTATGAAGTCCAGAAATACTGTGGTTGTAATTTTTTATTATCAGTTAAAGACACATTGCTCTGATAAATCTTTTTAAGTGGTCATTAGTTTCCATATTCTAATAAATGTTACTGTAAAGCTGTCCCATCTTTTCAGAATATCATTTTAATATCAATGCTAAGTGACATTAGTAATGGGCAGTTTTAATTTTGTCTGTTCCCTAGACAGTGCCTCTGCAAATTTCTGCCAGCTAAATCATGCTTTGAATACATTGGTTTTCTTTCATGCACTGGGTTTGATAGGATCATGGGAAATTTAGGGCTCAGAGGGAAGTCTTCTAATTCCACGCCCTCACTTTATACACAAGGAAACTGGTGTACAGAGAAGTTAAGTCACTTAGCCCTAGGAAGTAAATGACAGAGGCAAGTCATCTGACTACAGATCCATTACTCTTTCCAGTGAACCGCACTGATCTTCCTTTTAAACACAGGCCAAACACCATGATAAAGAACATCATTATAACACATACTTTGTTATAGCTAGGCTGTGTCCATGTGACCTATTTCAAAGTGGCCTAAAACTTGAAGTATTATAGGGTGACTTGTGCTGCACCAGCCCTATGCCCTGGAGAGAATTCCAGGCTCCAATCTGCAGCCTAATTTCAAGCATTTGCAATGTACTATGAGAGACAGTAGGCTATCATCTCATCAGATCTCTGATTAAAGCGACAACATAAATATCTCAGTTTCTCTAAAGCCATAGGCAGATCCTCTCCAGAGCCTATCTAGGGCTATTTCAGTGGGTTTCAGCAATTTGTCTTAGAAACAAAAATTCACGAAGTACTCAGGATGACCTCTTAAAATCATCATCACATTACAATACATTCCTGTGATCAGAGACTAGTCCTGGCTTGCTTCTTGAAACTAGTCCTGCTTTGCTTTTTAAACGATGTCTGTCTTCTACATTATTTTTGCTCTGTGACCAATGCACAGAGAGCATCAATTATGCTGAACTATAGACTCTGATGTTAGGAGCCAAATAGGGCCTCGAAGATACCCCTATGACTTGATGTGATGGGACTCATGACTAAAACATATTACTCATGTCAGGAATGTGACTCCAGAAAGGCACACCTTACTTTAAAGAAAAAAGAAATATGATAGGTCAAGAGCCAGCCAATCAATAAGCCTTTACTGAGCATCGTGTGTCTGCAGGCACTGGGAATACAAATAGAAATGTGAAGCATTCTTTTCCCCTCAAAAAGTGTACAGTCTATCAGGAATGTGTATGTGTATACACACACACACACACACACACACACACACGTAAAATATATATGCATGTATGTGTATATATGTATGTGTGTATTTACATATACATATATGCACATATGTATATGTATGTGTATGTGTATTTATAAGTGTACATAAAATGAATACAAAGTAGATTCGCAGTATTTTGGAGGAGGGGAGAAAGAATAAAAGAATTAGTAGCTAGAGGGGAGAGATCAAGAAAGGCCTCATAAAGAAGGTTAAATGAACTCAGCTTTAAAATAAAGTATGTATTATAAGAGGTAGCAATGAGGAGGGAGAACATTCCAGGCACCAGGGATAGCTGAGGCAAAGGCATTATGGGAGATGGGAGATGGAATGTCCTATGTGTGAGCAATAGTAAGTAGGTCAATTTGGCAGGGCCGAAGGGTAGTAGTGTGGAATAAGGTCACAAATTCAGACTGGGGTCAATTTGTGAAGAGCTTTAATTGACAAAGAGTAAAGTTTTTTTTTTATTTTAGAAATCATAGGGAACCATTGGAATTTATTGAGTCC